TTCCACCCCCTCTGATTGCTGGATCTTGCTTACCTAAAGCTGACGCTCCAGGTACTTCTTCAGGGTGTCCACAAAACTGTCTACATGATGTGGACACTTCTTCTTGGCTTGCCATACAATGGGAGGGGACCAGCTGGCGAGGGACCATCTGAGGGGATGTGTTAACAGTCCCCTGCACCCGAAAATAGTCTTGGCAGTGGACCTAGTAGGCGGACGTAGGTGAGTATAACTTTGCAAGAACAACTAAAAACCTTGAAGGGACAGGCGGGAGGGTGCTCATATTTTGCCCACAATACGGCTTTAAAGAAGAACTTGGGACAAATCTTTTCTTAACCCCTGCAGTAGGGCTACCACCTCACTGCAAGGGTTACGTGATCATTTTGGCCTTGGTGCGATAATAAAGTTATATTCACTTGATCCACGGAGTTGTCTGCCAGTGACATTGCTCCCTCCGGCCTCTCTCCTCCTCCTCCTCTACAGCGGTCTAAGGTCCCTGAGTCACCACGTCCAATACACAGTGTATAGGACCTGATAATGCTGAGGGACATAACATTGCTGCAGCATAGGAGGAGAGAGGCCGGAGGGAGCGCTGTCACTAGCAGACAAGTCTGTGGATCCGGTGAATATAACTTTATTTTCGCACCTAGACCAAAATGATCACTTGACCCTTGCAGTGCGGTGGTAGCCCTACTGCAATGGTTAAGAAAAGTTTGGGCCAGAATTCTCCTTTTAATGATTTCAAGCTTTAGGTGGTACATTGTGGGCTTGTTCACACCATATACAGTACGTTCCAGCGCGGTTAGCTACTGGGACGCACCGTATCACATCCCGGCTGGCATCCTGCATTCAGGAGCGGGAGGGGGCGTGATGTTGCATTGCAGACAATAGCACCGCAGCCACGCCCCCGGCCCGCAGTGCGATCGCTTGCACCACAACACGTGGCACATTAATGCCTGCGTTCTGGTCCAGTGCCATCTGGACCGGAAGGCAGGCATTGATGTGCCATGTGGTCTGGTGCGGGCGGGGGGAGTGTGGCTGCGTTGCCATTGACTTCAATGCACCGCCATGCCCCCTCCCGCTCCTGAACGCAGGAAAGCCGTCCGGGATGTGATATAGTGCGTTGCAGTAGCTAACTGCGCTGGAACGCACTGTATATGGTGTGAACAAGCCCCATATGTTCACTTTAAAACAAAACCTCCCTCACTTTGTGCCTCATCTGCACATTGTCAACTATTCTAAGCAGTAAAAGTTGCCCATACATTCCAATGTAGAATTCTGCTCCAAAGAAACGTCCAAAAGGTAAATCTTTTTGAAAACATTATTTTTAGGTATGCTATTATTGGGACAACACACAACAAAGCTTTTCCAGTGTAGTGTGTTCACTGCACTGGCAGAGAGAAGCATGCGAGCTGTTTGCCAGGTTACTGTCAGACACTTCACATCCCATACGCCAGGTCCAATCTGGCGGGGATCTGCAGCAGTTTCCTATCGTAAAAAGCGCCGCCATCCCTTTGTGAAATCGGCGTGGAACACATGCCAGTTTCTGTTTCACTCTGAAACTGGGTGGCACAGATGGACCTGAAACAGGCTATCTGCTTTGTTAATGTGATGCATGCCACCTGTGCCATTATTATTATGGCGCAGGAAGTTTTGGCAATTCCCAAGATCGTACAGCAGTATCTTAGGCCCGGTTCCCACCTGGGCGTTTTTCCGCGCGTTCGTACTCGCGGAAAAACGCTCAAACGGGGAAATGCCATTATTTTCAATGTGCATGGTTCCCATCTGGGCGTTTTTTCCGCGAGTACGAACGCGTGGGAAACCGCCCTACGCCCAAAGAAGTACATGTACTTCTTTGGGGCGTTTTGGTCGGGCGTTTCCATTGGGATACAGCCAAGTAGCCTCGGAGACGCGCGTTTGTCGCACGTTTTTTTTACCGCGCACCGCGGTAAAAACGCGCGACAAACGCGCATATTCAATACGCCTAGGTGTGAACCCAACCTTATACTCAACACTGGATTGTGAGAAACCTGTAATGTTAAGGAGCCTCTGATTGCTATGGCAGCATAATTAGTTTTGTGGTTATGAGGTGTCCCACTACCTGGAAATCGTTCCTTGTCACCCGCTAGGAGTCAACTTTTGGATCCAGGTATTGACACTCCCCGTATGAATGAATGGAAAATCTCATGTTTGATCGAGGAAGTGACTC